GTGGTGCAGAAAATGAGGAAGAAGAAATTGGGACGGAATCTCTTCTTAAGGTGAAGTGAAACCCTCCTCAAATCAGTCGATTCGGATAAGACACTTTTTTTTAAGGGTATTGGATAGAATCATCATTTGAACGGAATAAAGGTAAAAAATTGTCTTATACGCTTCTATGCTAAAATGATTAAAATATGAGGTCTCGGAGTGGAAATTTAGTTGGCATGAAAATCACAGATGGCGCGGAGTGTCCCTCTGACTTCCATTTTTTCGTTTTTTTTTATACGAGGATGCAAATACACGGGAGGAGAACGGACGGACACTTTCTCCGGTGATCGGCCTTTTTTCTCCCTTACGTCGACTCGATATTTCACGGATGTACAGGGGTGGAGGAGAATTTCGGTACGATCGCAATTCACCGTCTGTCAGAGCTTGGCCGGCGTCGAATCGGCCGGTGCGAAAATGGCGAATCGGTTGGCCCGGACTTTACGAGCATGCCGACGATAAACTCGATAATTTAAAGCTCGCTTTTGCGGGCCTTCCGTCCGCGATGCGGTGCCTCGGAACACCTTGCAGGTACCTATCTAAACCGCCAATGCCCAAATCTTGCAGCGATTGTCTTCGAAAAACCGTCGAAAATATGTACATATACTCGGGAGCGCGACAGAGTTCCGCGCGAAGTGCGTTTTATTTATTTGTATATGGAAAGAAATAATTTGGTTACAATTACTATAGGGACGTGGTTAAAATACTGGGGGAAGTAAAACCACAGAAATGGGGAAATTGACCACATGGAATGAGAAATGTAACCAATGCCAAAATCTTGCGGCGATTGTCTTCGAAAAACCGTGGAAAATATACGAACAGATACGGCATCGCCTGTGCTGGTTGGGAGGGCATTGATGTCTCCCAGTGTGCATATACTAGGGAGCGCGACAGAGTTCCGCCCGAAGTGCGTTTTATTTAATTGTATACAGAAAGAAATAATTTGGTTTTGGAGAAACCACCTTTTCGAGCATCAAATGATTTTTTACTACTTTAGGTAGCAAGCTTTAGGTGCAATTGTGCTTTTCCTGACCATTCTCTTTTTTTTCCGTGTAACCCTCGAGACACCGAATCGGCGATCTTTCCGAATAATGTCCAAACACGAGTTGGCACCGAAATGGCCAAAATAATGACCTGGGGCAAGAACGAAGTGAAAAGGAAATTCCTGGAGAAATAACAAGTGCCCGGTGGAGGGCCAAAAAGAAGGGGCATTTAAACTCACCACCCACGTCGTAACGGAGGGCCATTTCCGCCACTTCTCCGGGGCGTGACAATCGAGCGGGGTAAAAAAAGGCTCGACATTTCCTTCGCCCGATGTAAATCCGACTCGGTAAAATAAACTGAGGATATTTCTCCTCTGGAAACACATCGGAACGTGCGCACTTATACACTCCGGCCATTAGATAGGAGACTCGATGGCCGCCATTCTCGGTTCTGACAGCGACTTTAGGACGCCGTGAGAAAACCCCGGCTTTCACGAGCTTGACGGACATTACGCAAAATCCCCGATGCGAGAGGAGGCGTTTGATATTGAAATATTTCTATCTCTTTTTCTTTCTCTCCCCCGGGTTGCGGAACCGCAGAGGAACCGCGTAGAACGCCGAGAATCGACGAGAATAGGAGGAGGTATCCTCGGCGGATATAAAATGTCTTAATATTTTTATCCCGAGTATTTTTTACTTTATATTTCACGAGGATATAATTAACGTGAAAACGAGAGAATTTGTTTTCCGCGGATACGAAGCCGAATCGCGAGGCGAGATTGGAATGTAATTGGAAAAGAAAAGGAAGGCGAAGGGAGCGAGAGTACATCCGTCCACGTTTGCCTTGCTTTATCCTTTTTTCCCCTTCCGATATCCCTTCGTACATTTGCATTCTCATTAAACCGAGACGCTTATTCATTCCGGTCGCGAAAGCTCAGGAGCTTGCCAATTTTTCCGCGATTATTCTCGCGTCTTCTCCCTGTCTCCATTAACGTCCTCTTCCTCGGACACAAAGGGAAACTTTGTGCAGTCTCGATTTTCCTCAACTTCTAAAAAGTAGCATTTTCTCCTCCCCTTTCCCATGGCCCTAAAACATGAAAACAAAATCCGCGATGAGAGAAATTTTCGAATTAATTCCTGAAAATGAGTCCCAGTTTGAGGAGAAAGGTAATTGCGGAAATTAGCGAGTGTTCTCATTTTTCTAATTCTTATTTCTACGAGGCTTTTCAATTTTGCGAAGGCATTCCCTGGTAAATCGGGCCAAGTGAACGTATGGCAAATACTCGATAGATATACCGAATCGATATATCGAGCCACGAGAGAGCTATCGGTGCGACTCTACGATTCGCCGATAGATCAAAGTAAAAGCAAAATGTCTGGTCACGCTCTTGCGAAGTAATCGCGCCGTATTACATAACTCGGTATTATTTACCCGGGAATCTATCGGCAATATTTCTGCCGAGCGGTATTATTAAAAAGATACCGACGATAGCGCCGTAATAGCACATCGAGGTTTATTGCGAGGATAAATCGCCGTTTGAGAACTTCAATATGAAACGCGAGGTAACCACTTAAGGAGGCGCATGACGCCAGTGGAAATGTCAAAAGAGTCCAAGCAAACTTTAATCATACCTTAATGTCCTTCCCTGGGCACATAATCGCTCAATAAAAACCCCTTTATATTACCGAATAAAATCCAGGAATTTTGCAAGAGGTCCTTCTTTGAGAAGAAAATATAATTTCCCGCTGATTTCTTCAAGATTGACGAAAATGCCTTAACAAATTTAACCTCGCTGTTTAAATCTGTTATTGAGCTACGCGTTGGAACAATTTGTGGACAGGGGTAATTGTCTCACTAGGGGGAGAAAACGACGTTGAATCGAAATTGCAGGAGTCAACCTCGAGGGGCTCCGCTGGAGTAGGTACCTAGAGTACCTAGAGTACCTAGACCTCTCTGAGGACTTCACAGAGGAATTCCAGTAATTAACTTACGAGTATTGTTAACATAAACTCTCGACTTGTAGGGTCTCTTGTGTATGCCGAACGCACGTCGTGGACTCCTCTCTCTCTCTCTCTGCCTCTCTTTGCGTATTTTGCGAGAGTACACTTTGTACCGTTCTATGTACTTTAATGTACATACCGAAGTGCAAGTGGATATACAGTCGCGGGTTGTTTCTTCCTCCCTCGACTGGCGTTTTCCTAGATTTCTATTTTTATTTCTATTATTAAAAAGAAATATATTTTTATTTCCATTATTAAAAAGAAATATATTTTTCTGGCCCACTGACGAGCGTTCTTCGGGAACTTCATCAGGGTCTCAAGGTGTCCCAAAAGCAAGCGGTAAAACACGCAACTCCGCTAATATTTACCCTTCTGGGAAATGTCACCGTATTGGAGATCCTCGACATTCCGAGCCTTGACACTAATTTCGAATAATTTTCGAATTCAAGTAAGACCTGATAGTACATAGTCGAAGTAGCTCTTTTCATGTTCATATCCTCGTTCTACAGTAATTTAGCCCGATAAAAAAAAATGTTTTATACGAAAAATGATGCCCCTGATTTTTGTGGTCACATGAAATTTTTTCGGCAATTCTTGGATACTTGGTAAACATGAAAACACGAAAATATTGGTATTATCTCTTAAAAAAAATGAACATTTTATATTCATATCCTCATTCTACAGTAATGGAGCCCGACAAAAAAAATGTTTTATACGAAAAATGATGCCCCTGATTTTTGTGGTCACATCGAATTTTTTCGGCAATTCTTGGATACCTGATAAATATGAAAACACGAAAATATTGGTATTATCTCTTAGAAAAAATGACTGTCGACTCCAATATCCGCGTCAACGTTCTCGCTGTTGTGGATAACAATGCCCCCAGAGTTATCACGTTATCACGGCAGCGCAACGATCGAATGCTGGACGGCCTCTGTTAATTTCACACCCCCTGCACCGATAATGCACCCCTTATGCACCCTCCGCCGAATGTACACTCCGTTAATAATTCATCGGGGCAAATAGCATTCTCGGGATAAGGACCGGACCGGAAGTCAAAGCCCATTGACGTCCTGGCAGCCTTGAAGACAATGGACCTCAAGTCCCGTTGTCGTCTGCCCATCCGTGAAGTTTAATGTCCCAGATATCTCTCGACAATGCTCCGACCTTTGATGCAATAAACGGGGATTGACAAATGGGCATGCAATTGTATCGGATGCACTCGAGGTCCGATCCTCCGGGATGCTGCACCCCAGGCATGAATTTCATCTCGCTCGCGTTTCTTCTCTCCCAGAAAATATTCCTCAGGGAGCGGATAGGCGGAAGTGCGACAAAGTTTGCCGACCACCGGGAGGTAATTAATTAAAGAAGTCAAATCGAGAGGACAAAGATGATTTCCATGCAATTGTATCGGATGCACTCGAGGTCCGATCCTTCGGGATGCTGCACCCCAGGCATGAATTTCATCTCGTTTGCGTTTCTTCTCTCCCAGAAAATATTCCTCAGGGAGCGGATAGGTGGAAGTGCAATAAAATTTTCCGACCACCGGGAGGTAATTAATTAAAGAAGTCAAAAATGATTTGCATGCAATTGTATCGGATGCACTCGAGGTCCGATCCTTCGGGATGCTGCACCCCAGGCATGAATTTCATCTCGTTCGCGTTTCTTCTCTCCCAGAAAATATTCCTCAGGGAACCGATAGGCGGAAGTGCGACAAAGTTTGCCGACCACCGGGAGGTAATTAATTAAAGAAGTCAAATCGAGAGGACAAAGACGATTTGCCAATATTGACCGGCGAGAATTCGTCAGCTAGTTACTTTCCGAATTAAGAGGAAGCTCTTCGGGATCCTTGTCTAGGAGAATTCCAGATTGACTTTTAACTTTCTTAATCTGCCGGAATACTCGGTGGGTGGAGGGTTGCGATCGATTCGACGGTTCTTTCCTCGAGATAATTCACGGTGAGGACGCTTCTTCTTTCAGGAACAACGCGAACACGGTGGCGCCCTCGGCGGTGACGATGCAGAAGAAGGAGCCGCACGAGAACATCGCGAGGATCGCGAAGAGATACCTCGATGACAACATGCAGCAGGCCTGGATAAACCCCCGGCTAATTTCAATGGTGAGTCGGCTTCGGTAAAGGAGGGGCCCTCGAAATGCAAAAGTGCAGAAAAGGAAGTCGTGCCGTGGCCCAGATTCGGTCCGCCGGTCTTCGGGTACTCGTCCCATCGCGATTCATCTCCTGGTCCTCGAGGATCCCGAGGGATCCCCGCACCTGACGGCTCTTAATTAACCCTCGAGTGTAGATATTTCTTCCTTTCGGGCCTCGAAAAGCCGCGGATCGGTAACGGGAGCTTAATTAATCCGCTGCTCGTCGCTCGATTTTCGAGTCCTTCCGCGCGACCCTCGAAGGGCTTTTCGGGGCCGGAGGTCCTCTTAATTAACTGCTTCCCAGTTTTTCACGCCTTTCGGGGACCACGTGGAGTGCCATCCCGATCTGGGCCATCTCTCGGTGCTTTTCCCGGCTTTACGACTCGATTGAGGGGCTTTGAAGCGAGCTTTTTCGAGTGGCTTCTTTGCTTCGCGCTGTCTCTTCTAATTTATCGGCTTTTCCGAATTTCCGCAAATTTGTCCAGGGGATTTTAGTGGGAAAGCCAAGACCTTCTGATCTTACAATTAGTTGGAGATCATTTCTCTTCATTTCTCTCGGTACTCGTACTCGGTACGATAGCAACCGCAAAGTGCAGATTTATGAGACGATGATAGGCCAAAATCACTCAATTCTCATTTAAGGGTTAAAGACCCATCTTTTATCAACCGATCAATTAGTCGTACCTAATTATTTCCTCCGTCAGATGAGAATACGTCAAAGTACTAGATTACATACGCAAAGTGCAGATTGATGATACAATGATAGGCTAAAATGCCTCAATTCCCATTTAATGGTTAAAGAGCCATTTTTTGTCAACCGATCAATTAGTCAACATGCGTACCTAATTATTTCCTCCGTCAGATGAGAATACGTCAAAGTACTAGATTACATACGCAAAGTGCAGATTTATGAGACGATGATAGGCCAAAATCACTCAATTCTCATTTAAGGGTTAAAGACCCATCTTTTATCAACCGATCAATTAGTCAACATGCGTACCTAATTATTATCTTCGTCAGATGAGAATACGTCAAAGTACCAGATACTCGGTACTCGTACTCGTACTCGGTTCTCCTTTTCCTTCGGCTGGTCGCTCGTGCCTCTGGTTTTGCAATTTATGTAACAATCGCTGTTCCGTTTTCTGCATCCACTTTACGTCATATGGCAGCGGATACTGTACTCTCCTCGGCGGTATAAGGAAGTATAGCGTCAGCGTGCCTTGCACTTTGACTTGATTTATGAGCACTTCGCATAACCTGCCGTTGGTATTAGCATACAGGTCGCTGCCCATCGAATGGATAACTTGCTAACCAGACGGGACGTGGTGGATCTTCATGGTCTCTGGCTTCGACGTCCACTTCGTCATCCTTTTGTCCGACGCCTGCCCTCCGTTTCCTGTAATATTCCATTTCCGAGATCACTCGGCCTCGAGATCGCGGATCTCGGTGAAAGTCATCGCAATTCGTCTCGTTTTCAGCTTTCTCCTCGTCGGAAATTGTTATTTTTTTTTTTTTCATCCTCGAGCAATTTTTGCGATCGCCTCCGCCGTGCTCCATTTTTTCCCCCCTCGGTTTCCCTTCGATTAATTGGGCCAGATCGTTTTATTTCTTTTTTTTTTCACTTTTTTTCGGGGATCTCTTTTAACGCTCCTTTATTTCTTCTCGGCTCGTTTATTCCTGGGATTTTTCTCAGTGTCTTATGAATTCAAAAGAGTCTTCTTGGATCACGGTATGTTCCCATTCTTCTCGCGTCACGCAATATCGCGTTCGACATATTTCTGCCGTTATCAGGGGAGGCTTAATCCGAGGGTCTTTCGAAACGAGATCATCCTCACTTTTCCGGATTGGTTTTATATCCGAGGGAGTTTCCCCCGACGCGAGGAAAATCTAGACGACCTCGGATTCTCCCCGGAAGGCGTTATATGGGTTTTGGGAATTTCTTAATATTCACGTCGGCGATATAATAATATGATTTATCCGTCATTGCGGTATTAGATGTCTCGTGCAATTTAATTCCATGAAATTCCCGTTAAAGAAGGCGCAATTAATTATTAAAAAATTAATAAACGCCGAAAATCCCCGTCACTTACGTTCACACCGAATTTCGTCCCCGCTTTTACGCGAGGATTTTCTTTTTCTCCTCGGAATATATTTTCCCCTTTTTCCGATGAAGCCTCGGCTTAGCCTTCCTCCGTCTACCTCCAACTCGGTTAAATCCGAAAGTTCTCAATTGAACGGAAAGGACTTGCTTCCATCCGAGTGATGTCGGGCTTATAAAGTCACTCCACGATCCAATACATTACGTAGCATTGCGTCCGCCATTACTGGGCGCATAAATCTCCCTGCAATGTTTTTGCAAGAATACTTTTTGTTAAAAAGTATTTTTGCAAAAAGTTGTCGCAAAGTCGGGGAGAGGAGGGAACGATTTTTATTCACCGAGGACTCTTTTACATCCGGTATACTTTTCCACCTGGGAGTCGGCGCCTTTGAAAGGCCGCCCCCTCCGGGGTATGCCTCGAATATATTTTTCCTATTTTTCAATCGAACTTCGGCTCGACTCGGAGCCTCCATCTTCGACACGGCGACACCTAGAAACGTCCCCGATGGAGCGGAAGTAACTCGGTTTGGTCCGACTCGAAGAAAACTTAAGAAGGCACCGCACGATCCTGGACATTTGTGTACTCTTCGGGGAGCCATTTTTCCCTACGTTATTTATTCCTGTATATGTTTCGTGCCTCACCAATATTTTGCGAAAAAGTATCCTTGAGTATATAATTTTTTCTTCTAGATTTCGTGGTGTAAAAAAATTCCTCACCTAACATTTATATTCCGTGCCTTCAAGGTATCACATTTTCCTACGTTATTTATTCCTGTATATGAACATATAATTTTTTTTCCTAGATTTCGTATTTTATAAAAATTGCTTATTTAACATTTATATTCCGTATCGTCAAGGTGTCGCACTTCCCCACGTCATTTATTCCATATATACGTTTCGTACCTCTCTAATATTTTGCCGAAAAAGTGTCCTTGAATATATAATTTTTTTTTTCTAGATTTCGTATTTCATAAAAATTGCTTACCTAACATTTATATTCCGTACCTTCGAGGTGTCTTATTTTCTCACGTTATTTATTCCATATATGCATTTCGTACCTCTCAAATATTTTGCGAAAAAGTATCCTCGAATATATAATTTTTTTTTTCTAGATTTCGTATTTCATAAAAATTGCTTACCTAATTAAAACTAAAAAAAACATTTATATTCCATATCGTCAAGGTGTTGCATTTTCTCACGGTATTTATTCCCCTATACGTATCGTCGAGTCGAGTCGAAATTCGAGAAGCCTAAACACCCCAGAGGGAATAATTAATTACCGAGTTAGCAACAAATGATTTGCTCGGTTTTGTCCCTCGTTCCGGGACTCGGGGGGTCTTTCGTGGACTTCTTCGAGCCTAATTCCCGAGTTCATTCGAAAGGGGAAGGTGTCTTCCGGGATATCTCGCGGATTCGCCGAGGACCCTGCAGAGGGTCTGCCGCCGACGCGAGGGGTGGATTATAGGAAAGGAAGGGGTTGGAGGCGCGGTTTAATATTCGCCTTTGTTCGCTTCATTAGCGCCGCACAAAAGTGGCTTAAAATAATTGAGTCTACCGCGGATATAATGGCTATTCTGATATTCCATTGTTGCACCCCGCGCGGACTCCTGATTCGCGGCATTATCCCTCGGCTGCTTATTTCTCATTGTGTGCCACCCCCCGTCGCCCACTTTTGTTTTTATTTAATATTTCAACTCCCCTTTACGCCAATATCTGCGTCGCCCCGACGACGACGTCTCCGTGTCTCTTTGCCGGGACTCCAGGGGTTGTCACCCGTTCCCTTATCAGAGATAAAAAAAAAAGTCACCAAAAAGGACGAGGCGCATTTTGCGATTTTTCTAAACAATCCAAAGTGTATGGTAAATTATAACCGACGTTTAATGGTGGTCTCACGCTTTCTTACTTTATGTGGAGCTCTTTCGTTCCGGGGAGCGATTCAATTGAGTTTTTTAATACGCCGCTGAGTGTCTTCCCCGAGCAGAAGGAGGACAAAGGTCCTGCTCCTTTTTTTAATTATTGCGTCTAGCCGGCGACGTGGCGTCCATCCCCGAGGCCGTTTCCTTGCATTCCGATGCACGGGGAATTATAAAAAGGGGGTCATACTTTTCGCGAAAATGATTCCCCCCCTCGGAGGATATTCCCCAGAAAATTATTCGATACTCCACATTTACCCCCCCGACGTTATTTAATTTCGGTAAAGATGGGGAATTGATATCATTTGAATTATAAGATTTGTCGGTGCATCCTGGATGTACTCGAGATGCTCTCCCGAGGGAATGATCGCACCTGGAATATTTTTAGCAATTAATAAGGGGGAGCTCCGTAAGCAATTTCGAAGCTGCTAGGGACTTTTCCCCTCCTGGATGCGATTGAGGGTCGCGGGCGAAACTTTCCCTAGGAGAGAGAGAGAGAGAGAAATGCTGGGGCTTTCATTTGTTCCACTTCGGTTTGACTTGCAGGAGGTACGTCCTCCAGGAGGTCCTTTGAGGTCCTCCCAGTCTCTTGTCCTCGCCCCCTGGGGAAGTTTCGCCTCGCGAGATTTACCGTGGCGCTTAGTTGTATGAAGAAAAAAAATTAAAAGTCCCCAACACCCCCGAAGGGGTGTTTCGCTTCAACATTGCGAAACTTATTAATGCGAGGACCTTAGGTTAAAAGTTCCCTCTGCTCCCCGGCGGGCGTCTGCGACGGAGGATAATATTTGAAAATTCGAAATCTCGGAGAATGTTAAATATCTTCCATTAAAGGGGACTCAGGGAGAAAAAATTAAAAAATTAAAAAATTGAATCAGGGATGATTTGTCAAGTCTTGCGGGGAAGTTCAGGTGGACGACACAGCTCGTGGGGATATTTCCCTAATGAGAATATCCAATCTTG